TGTCACAAAATAACCACTCCTACACAGCACACAATACTCAACAGTAGAGTACTTTTTTTTCCTCCCTGAGCAATTTATCTAAGTGGTAACATGAAGAGGACATCCATATGTGTGTTTGCACCTGCTGGGTCAGAGAGACCTTGTTCCCTACTCCCAGTGCTGGCAGTGAAGGGCTTTGATGCCAGCATGCATTCCCATGGGTTTCTGGAAAGCTAACTACAAGAATGTTTCCTGTCAGAAAGGAAATGAACCCTGTCACAGCTGGAAAATCATCACCTATTCTTCCTGTGTAAGTGGTCTGAAGGGATTACGTTTCTCAGTTACTGTGTTAATTTAGGCTTTTAATGTGTCTTATCATGAGTATTTAAAGCTATTAGTTAGGAAAGATTCATACCACTATGGGCAAGATAAGAGCACAAAGATGCCTATCAGACCTGTATACAATGAAATACTTCAGTTTATTATCTTTCAATTATTTATTTATATTCCCAAAATGACATGGTTTGCTGTGTTGAATTAATTTCCTAGCAGCCAATACTGCATGATGCAACATGATCATACCGCATTGTTCTATTTTGATGTTTGAATGGTCTACCAAAGCTTTCTAGAATTTTTTGGTCTCCTTTTTCCTGCAAAAGGAATTTATTTAAAAAGGGGGGAAAAAACTCCATATGAAAATTATGTATGTGCTAATACACAAAGAGAAGATTCCTTGGAAGGGAAATGGCAAAACATTTGAAAAGGCCAATGCACATTACAGATCTGTTATCCCAAACTCCTTGATTTTCTGGATTATCTCCCTCACCATCCTCAGTATGTTGTCATCTTATTGCAAAAGCTCCATACTTTCTTGGTGATTTCTCATGGGCAGCTCCTTACAGTACTGACTCCTTCTTCCTCACAGCACAGCCAACAAACTCTAACTAACTTAACTTCTCGACCAGCCAACCTACTCTTTTACAGTACCCATCCTAACTGGATCTAGCTGTGGCCTGTTAAGGGCAGGCCTGTTCCTAATTCAGCTGTAACTCCTTAGGGGTGAGATTACCTTCATCACTACCTCTATTCTCCTACGTTCCATCCATCCACATCAGTATACCTCAGGAACAACAGAGGAAGCACTGGCTGTTCACAAATTCAAGCACAAGTCTTTAATGCTCTAAAAGCACATCTTTAACACACAATAATTTCAAAGAGAGAAATGCAAGCATAAAAGTTCAAAATCCTTGTCCTGTGAAAACCAACTATAGCAGGTTTAAAAAGTGCTTACACATTCATCCAGATTATTGACCTTTCCAGCAAAAGGAAACTATGTCCTTTCAAAACACACTGTAAATAATTAATAGCTGAGTAAATATTATTCCCAAAAACATGTAATACATTCATATATTAGATGTAATAAACAGGATTACTCATTCTTTAAGTAGTCTATAAGGAAATCAGAGCTATTTTAATGACATATTTGTGCAAGCAATTCAAGTCCAGACACTCAGAAAATGAAGTATTTTAGAATACTATGGAATTAACTTATACTATACTCAAGACTTCTACTGGCAAAAGTCTTCCTGCTAATTACTACACAAAGCAAGAGTGAATCATAGAGTTATTTTATGAAACAGTATTCAAAACAAGAAAGAGGAAAAAGGGAATTTAATCCTCAGTTATTTGTGTGGATCTTTCCTGCACTAGAAAAATAAAGCTTACATTGCTCAAAGAATAAAAGCTCTGAACTTGCATGAGGGAACTTAAATACTCAGGGGAGTTGAAGTGTTTGATGCATAAAAGCTGCTAAATCAGTGACCTCAGGAGAACCATGGGGCCTATATGGAAAAATCTGTGATTTAAACAGTGGGATTTAAGATGAAAGGCAACTCTGAAAGCCAAGTTATGCCATTCTGAATAAATCTTTGTGATAATCTCCTTCTCTTCTCTTAAACACTTGTAATCTTTGAAAAGGAAAAATCACCACAAAAGAAAAGAAAAAGTCAAGTCACTTGATAAAGTTTTAGGCTCCATAAAGGTCCCACATGCATTACGACACCACAGCCAACAAACTCTAACTAACTTAACTTCTCGACCAGCCAACCTACTCTTTTACAGTACCCATCCTAACTGGATCTAGCTGTGGCCTGTTAAGGGCAGGCCTGTTCCTAATTCAGCTGTAACTCCTTAGGGGTGAGATTACCTTCATCACTACCTCTATTCTCCTACGTTCCATCCATCCACATCAGTATACCTCAGGAACAACAGAGGAAGCACTGGCTGTTCACAAATTCAAGCACAAGTCTTTAATGCTCTAAAAGCACATCTTTAACACACAATAATTTCAAAGAGAGAAATGCAAGCATAAAAGTTCAAAATCCTTGTCCTGTGAAAACCAACTATAGCAGGTTTAAAAAGTGCTTACACATTCATCCAGATTATTGACCTTTCCAGCAAAAGGAAACTATGTCCTTTCAAAACACACTGTAAATAATTAATAGCTGAGTAAATATTATTCCCAAAAACATGTAATACATTCATATATTAGATGTAATAAACAGGATTACTCATTCTTTAAGTAGTCTATAAGGAAATCAGAGCTATTTTAATGACATATTTGTGCAAGCAATTCAAGTCCAGACACTCAGAAAATGAAGTATTTTAGAATACTATGGAATTAACTTATACTATACTCAAGACTTCTACTGGCAAAAGTCTTCCTGCTAATTACTACACAAAGCAAGAGTGAATCATAGAGTTATTTTATGAAACAGTATTCAAAACAAGAAAGAGGAAAAAGGGAATTTAATCCTCAGTTATTTGTGTGGATCTTTCCTGCACTAGAAAAATAAAGCTTACATTGCTCAAAGAATAAAAGCTCTGAACTTGCATGAGGGAACTTAAATACTCAGGGGAGTTGAAGTGTTTGATGCATAAAAGCTGCTAAATCAGTGACCTCAGGAGAACCATGGGGCCTATATGGAAAAATCTGTGATTTAAACAGTGGGATTTAAGATGAAAGGCAACTCTGAAAGCCAAGTTATGCCATTCTGAATAAATCTTTGTGATAATCTCCTTCTCTTCTCTTAAACACTTGTAATCTTTGAAAAGGAAAAATCACCACAAAAGAAAAGAAAAAGTCAAGTCACTTGATAAAGTTTTAGGCTCCATAAAGGTCCCACATGCATTACGACACAATTTTAATGAAAACAATCAAGGCAAGTCTATGAGTGAATCAGTCCTGTCAGAAATTAGTTTTATTCTTCCCAGTTAGCTTCTGAACACTGATTATAGCAGCTGATACTCACAGAAGCCACTATGTTTTTTCTTTCTTTATATAAACTACTGCATAAAACTTAGCAGCTCAAAAGGCGTGACTGCTGTCTCTCTGCGGCTTTTTGTTAACTGCTTGATCTGCAACTTAAACAGAATTACAGCCACACACTTCCAAGAAATTCACAATGGTAGGTAATAATCAGCATTTTCCCTACAGTTTTAAAAAAGACCCTACTATACTCCCAGTCAGTAATATGGTACACCTCCATAAAGTTTTAGATGATAAACCTGCACTTTGTGGCTGAAATAAGACAATAAAACTTAGTTGTATTCTTTAGCATTGTTAGCACTGCCTGTGAATTGAGGACTTTAACTCCCAAGCTCTGTCAGCAGAATGCAAAAGCACAGAATGTACATAAGCACATTAATTACACACAAATGAAAAGCATCACTAGATTTAGTGTATTCTTAATTTTATTTTCTGATGGGAGAAAAAAGGCTATGAGAACATTATTTTGAATTGTAATATGCAACTTGAGAGAAAATAACTATTTGAAAGATGTTAAATAAGACTTAGGTGGCATTAACTAATAAGCTCATGGGGCTGGGTTTCTTGGTTACTTTATCCTTTAAAATATATACACACCTACTGCCATAGTCATAAAATCTTAATTCTCAATATTGAACTGCCCTTTCTATAAACTCGAGATCGATTTTGCTCAATAAATTCTACTGCTTAATACTGAACAGAATTAAGACTTCCGAGTCACACATTCCAGCTGTCCTTGTAGCAAACAGATAGGAATTATAATTTTAAACCCTCCCGTAGGTATGGAGCGCCTGCTGGGATTCACAGGCCGAGGGGGACACTGGAAAAGCGTTTGGAAAGTAAGGAAGAGCCTCTGATGTTGTTCGTCTGCTGCCCCCTCCTGGAGGAACACAAACAAAGCGCCACGGCCAGGAACACAGCTGGATTTCCAGGTCCCGCTTTCAGCACTTTGCTAGTAACCTCCTGACAGCAGATCTTTCTCAGTTTAAAGGAATTCCTTGAAGCTTTACAGTAACCATAGACTCTAAAATATACTTCCCACGTGTATCTGATAATCTGGGCATAACGAGAGGCAGTTGTGGGGCAGAGAGAAAATGAGGCAGTTTGCTCTGAAGCTCTGTGCAGGGCACAGCCCGAGCCCTGTCACAGTGAGCACAGCAGGGTTATCCTCACACCCTTCTGCCATCAGCTACTCCATCTGTGCCGCAGGACACACCACTGAGCTGGCTGTGATTCCCCACAGATCCCGCTCCGCTGTGGGAACAGGGCCTTTAGTGGAAAGAATTACAGGACAGCTGCAGGCTGGGACTATAGCCAATGCCAATTTTATGAGTTTGCACCTCAGGGGGACTGTAGGAAATGAACAGTGTTGACACAAAGTTTGTTTTGCTGTACAGAAGTCAGGCAAAGCTCAAGTCAAAAGTAGGTACAAAAAGTTCAAGTAAATTCTTAATCTCCCTCTTCCAGGGAGAGCTCCAGAAACCCAGCCCATAAAAGCTCATTTCTCCTTCAAAACAGAGCTGTAGCACGTACATCAGACATCACATTCCAAATGTAACCTCAGATAAAATTCGGGATGTCATACTCCAGTGCAACTCCACAGGTAACTCTTATAATAATGTAACAATTTAAAGTGCTTACTCCTGCCACTTAAAACAGTGGTAAGTTTTGTTAACTGACTACTTGATTTAAAAAAAGCCCAGAAGGCAGATGTCTATGTACAAGGTACATCATCAGCACATTGGGCTGCTCCCTACTTACTAACAAAAAGGCTCTAGCCCACTTCAAGCAATTAGGCCTTTGACTAGCTGAACCCAAATTCCATTTTTGCTTTCTTTTTATTATACTAATTTCAGAGAGCTACTAAAACATATATTTATTATTTTCCACATGAGCAATAACTTCAAATGAGGAAAGCCAGATTCAGTATAGACAATTATTTAAGTCCTAGAAAACAGTGAGACAAAGAAGCCTTTGGGGAAAAAGCTTTGATTATTTGAATTTATTTATGATACACAACTGTGAAAGTAAGAAAGTGACTTCTCTAGTCAAAATGTTGCAAAAATGTTTTCTGACAATGTAACAGACATGTATGGTCACAAACAACAACAAAAAGAGAAAGCACCCCAAGCCAAATGCACATACTTAGAAGAAACCAAGAGATGTACTCAAGCTTCTCTACCTAAATATTAGAAAAGCTATCAGATTTTGATATTTTGTAATGTCAACTCATGGACAGGTGATGGCTAGAGATTATTATTTTCTTTATCAAAGAAAAAGATATCTTTTCAGAATAACAGAAAAACATCAAATGCCTTCTCAAAATCTCTTTGGAAGAAAGGACGCACTTGAGGCCAGGCAAAGTCTTGGTGTTAACCCTTACAAGTGCAGATAAGTAGAATTTTACATTAACTGATAAAACTGGTACTTCAGTTAATGTTCCTCTTAAAAATGCAGCCATGACCCAAAGGAAGCTGTTTTTTCACCTAGTTAACTTGCAGAATTCCAAGAAGTCTCACAGCATTTCTCTTGGCTCCTGAAAGAATCTATTTCAGTGCCTGGACTTTGATATTGCCTGCAACAAACTGCTGCAGAAAACCTTAGCTGCACCTTTTGATCAGCACATGCTTAATTTATTCTAAAGACTGGTACTATCACAAACCAAGTAGGAGGCAGCAATTTTTATTTTTGTTCAGGCTATCAAAGAGCAACTTTCTTACAAAAATATGTAAGTAAATCAGCAAATAAAGAGATGTGCCAGATTACCAATCTGTAATTAAGAAACAAAATAGCAAGTTTTGCTATAATACAGATCATACTTACTGTACATACTACATTTAAATTAGCTTGAATCCTTCTTTCAAGTTGCTTTTGTGTTGAAACACACAGGATTATCTTCAGGCTTCTTCCTTCTCTTCCATTTGTGGTTTTGCTTGTGATGTCCACTCAACTGATATCTGGTTTTGAATACCTGATCTGAAAGGGTGGTAGCAGTTCTGTAATTTTCCATATGCTCCTTCAACTCTTCTCTGGATTCCCATTTAAGAAATAAGCTAAGTAAACCAATTCAAAAAGAAACCCAAAATGAACTACACCAATATTTTAAAATACCATCAGTGATGGAAAGATTTAAAAATCTGAGATATGAAAATTTCAGGTGAGGAAAGACAAAGCTGTAGAGAACATAAACCTTGCTTCTCATTCTGTGCTATATTTGTGAAACACACAAGAGTTTCTCAAGAAAAGTAATTTGTTTGAGTTGGTTTTTGTTTGTTCATTTGTTGTGTTGTTTGGGGTTTTTTTAACCTGTGGGGCAAAATTAGATGCAAGTTAAAGATAAGTAATTTTGAGGAACGAACTGCTCTGTTTTATTTTGTATATACTGCAAATACAATGAATAGGTTTACAGACATGTTTAACTGCCATTCACACACCTCTTGGAAATACAAACTATCACTACTGGATGCACAGTTGCGTTACAAAATTGCTAAAGTACTGCTCAGCACAACGAAAGAAAAAAAAAAAAATTAGGTAAGCACAAATTATAATCACAAAAATGACAGCATTTCACAAGTTACTATTGCGTTTCACATACTTGCCATGACAATAAATGTCCCTTTCTTTTTAAAAGTGACAATGCAGGAAGGAGAAACATGATTTTCAGGTTTCTCATTTGACCTGAATTGCTTTGTTTTACCAGATTACAATGTATTTGTCATATAAAAGCTTTATCCTGCAATGCACATTTCTAGCATTCCTGTGTTTTCTAAGTTTCCTCAGGTAAACTTCCAGTGATCATAATACATGCAGATAAAGAACAACCAACTTTTTTACATAATACAGCTACCATGCTACAAGGAATTGATTTTCATTATGTTATGAATATCCAAAAATTGTTAAAATAACATAAAATGATAATTATGTTAAGACTAATACAAAGATCAGTGAATGTCAAACCAAGATATAATCTTAAGAAATACAGTGCTGCATACACTTTGAAATATATACCGTACTTTGTAAAATTAGGGTGAAAAAAGCCTGATTGAGAAGATACCTGGTGTTTGTTTCAGAGTAAATGAAATACTTGCAACCATGGAAGTATCATTTGGCATAGAATAATTTAATTTGACTCAATTTTTTTGGTGCTGACAAGTTTGTATATTATTGCTTTTGTACTAGCAACAAACTACCAAAATACCAAAAATTGTCCTTTCACCACCCTCCCAAAAGTTTACAAACAAGATATAAAAGCTGATGTTAATTGTTATATAAATAAATCAATCTCAAAACTGTAGTACCAGCTCTGAAGATAATTTGTAAAAAGCAGAACCTGATCATGTGAGACATTTCAGCAGACTGCTGTTTACAGGAAGAAAAATTTAAAGACTTTTTCCTCACCCAGTGTCACCAAGCCTTATTTATTAAATTGCCCACTCCTTTTAATGTGATGACACAGCAAGCATCAGATTACAAATTCTGCGGCATTCTGGAGTCTCTAGTGACTAAGAGAAAAGGGAGGATAAATTGCCAGTTTTGTGACCATGTACAGATTAAAAAATATTTAAGAATCTTACCGCTTTTCTCATTTGCTGTATTCAAGCATAAATAAACACTTACCTGACTCTCCAATCCAGTGTGCACCAGCGTGGTTCAGTCAAGACACCACCGACACATGTAAGGATGTTGTGATGGAGATGAAGCCAGTAACTTTGAAGGCTCTGTATGTCACAGGACATAAATAAGAAATATATGAACTTTTATATAGCCACTGTATGGCACATTCATGGGGAATAGCAACGTAGAACCTAGTAACTCAGAACATACAGCAGTACATTCTGCTGAAGAAGACAGCATTTCTGGTCATTTATTTTAATATATTAAGGTAAATTCCCAACATATTTCCCACAACATAAAATAAAAGCTGTATTAAAAAACTCAAACAAAGCCTCAACTCCTTAAGATTGCCAAGACAAGAAATAAAAATTAGGTATTGCCAAAATTAAAGTTAAATTGCCAAAATCAAAGTTGCCTTGGTAACCTTAATCTCATTGTTTTTTGTGTATCTACTCTGCTCTCTAAAGAATAAAGCAAGGCTAATGAAGCACCACCCATTCTACACAATGAATTTCAAAAGGATCAGTGGGAGCAGAAATTTGCATACAGGCAAATCAGGCAATTGAAGATTTTTCAAGTGTACCCACCCACACAGATGAGTGTTTGGCTTTTTGACCTGTATTGAGAGTTCTCTTAATTTTTTTTTTAATGATTTTGTTTTCTTTTCAACACTCAACAAGTTTTAGGTTTCATTTTTGGAATCAAAATACCTAAGAAGTTAAAACATTAATGCCAGGTTTCACAATGGGGAATTATATATTTTTTATATATATATATACTCTCACACACCCCAAAACTCTGACGCTTGAACTGTCATTTGAGTAATGGCAGCAACAGTAAATAGAAGTGATTGTGCACCCTGTTAATTTAATGCTGATTCACATGTCTGAGACTAAATCCATCTGTTCACTTCAGACCAAACTATGGTCCAAGTTATTATCATTTTCTGAGACTCCCTATTATTTTACTATTTGCCCATTTTGCCATGACCCATTATCACTTTTCCTAACATGCCAAATTCTGCTTAAGTTAATTTCCTCATCTCGTCTTTATCTCTGGCAACAGCTCACAGGTTTTCCAGCCCCACTGGTGTTCAGTATCCAACATCTTTTATATGCTGTCTATAAAAGAATTAAAAACCTTTGCAAGCCAGGTGCCAAAGGAAACTGGCAAGTCTTCCTAGTTCCTGTCCCTAAAATAGTCTGTCACAATTACCTTCCTGCAGTAAGGTATTGTCATTGTTCACTGCATTTTTCAGAGACATTGAAAAGGCCAAATCTCAACAGATCTTTCCATCAGGAATGAGGCCTTTCAACTGTTCTAACAGAAGACACCTCCTGAAAAATGCTTATACATTTCCTTCAAGCCATGGACTGTTAGGGCTTTTTAAATAAAAGGTATTCACAGTCTTGCAGGTTCTACTTGAAAACATGAACAGGAAGTTTTCCCCATATACCTTCTAGAAAATTGGCTGAATCATTTTGGTTGATTTGCACATTTGACATCATTAAATGTCCAAAAAGAAATCAGAAAGAGACTAAACTCTTGGGTAAAAATAGATCTAAACTGAATATTGAACCTAGATGGTCATCATGAAGAGTATTACAATTCTGGTGTTACTTCAGTCACATGGACATAAAGTAAAAGCCACAAAAGCTTCAGACATGAAGCATCCTTCAGCTTTGACATTCTCAGCAGTACAGCATCCCCAATCCCAGTTTAGCAATACAACAAACAACAAAATGATAAGGTAATAGAGTCTTCCTTGTATGAAGCAAGGATCTCTACCTCTTGCAGATGGAAATAAAGCTTCACTGAGATGAAGAAACACTTGACAAAGGAAGATAGACTTGCTGCTACCTACTTAACAAGGCAGAATTTCCTTTTAAACTAACAGCTAGTTATCCAACCAAGCAATTATCTATTGCCAAAAGGAGCTCATCAGAAACTCAACTTAAGAAGTACTCAAAACCCAAGCATCTCATCATGTCCTGCCATCCAGATTTCCTGCACTGAATGTTGTCTTTTCTCCTCTACCTATGTAAGAGCTGCTCAGCTGCAAGCTCAATGCATCTGCCACATCCCAGCCCACCTACAGCCTTGGAAAGATGGGGATCCTTGTTGAGTGCCCTCAAGCAAACTCTAAGAAATTCCTAATCCTTCCTCCCTGCCCTCCAAACCACTGTTCTAATAGATCTTAATGAGTTTTAACGCCTTCTTCCATCAATTAAAGCAAATTTACTTGTACATACACTTGTATTAAGCAAATATTTAGCACTGAAAGAGAAAAAAAAAGAAAAATAACTGCACATCTTGAATTCAGTACAGTTAGAAACAGCACCTATGCTTGCACAGATGCTTGCAGACCTTGATCCATTCCTTAGCTGTATTAAAAGCTATAGTTTGTTGCAGTAGCTTAAAACCAGAAAAAATATGTTAATCTAAAATAGAAGAAATACATTTATCCACGTTAAAGTTATTAACATAAATGTTCAAACTGAACTCCTATGTAGTATTTAAGTATTTTGTGGTTATTTAGGCAATATGAGGCCAAATCTGGCTGAGATGCATTTAAGAAGAAAGAGCAATTATTAATTATGAAGATATACATAATTTGACATGGGGACTGTGGTAGCAAATCCAAGGTTAGCTCAGCTCTAAGAATCCTCAGTGCATCCACAATGTCAAAACAGAACAAAAGCCAAAACAAACCAAAACATGATAACAAGGAGCTCTCAAAGATTTCAAAGCACAATTAAAAATGACTTAGCAAAATATGCACTTGCAGGGAGTTATTTTATTGTGAATTATGGAGCATATGAAAAATATTGAAGGAACAGAGACTTCAGAATACCCAAGCTTCAAAGGATTATTTTTAGTGGCAGACACAACACCGTTTACATGTCCATTTTCTTCTAAGCACATCTGCTGACAGTCTAAATTTGGTCTGGAAAAAGTAGTGGTAGGAGGTTGCAGGTTTTGCACAGAAGATTTCTTTTTAAAGGGAAATGCAATTGAGACCACTAGCCCTTTTTTGTAAATATAGATATATAATATATATAAATATAAATATATCTTTTAATATAAAATAACTCAACTTTGCAGCAACTTCTGAACTCTTTTTTTAAGATTTAAGATTCAATTTGTACTTTGCTTTCCACTAACCAGTTAGGCATTCAAGTAGGTTAAAAGCTACAACAAGCATATTGAACCAAATAATGTTACAGCAATTACAGCGAGAACTTAACACAAAGTTAAACACAAGCTTAGTGCTAAGAAGCTGTGCTTAAAACTATTTCAAAAACCATCCCCATAGCCAGCAGGAAGGCTCTCATTGTACCAGCTCCACAAGCAAGGAATCAGCAAATAACAGTTCCTTATAATTCTACAGTAAAGCTTCCTTTAACGGAATGAAAGATCTGAAAAACATTAGCAAGTTGAAATTTCTTAGTTTCTTTATTGTTTTTTCTGCTCCTCAAAAATGTACAGAAATCAGCATGGTGTTAAATAAATATTTAGAAAGGTTTCCTTTGCTCACATTTATCACAAAAATGTAAGCAATATTAAGAAAAAAATCTTTTAAAAATTACAATTCCACACTATCAAGAGCTTAAAAAATTGTGAAGTATTTAACCTATTAAATTTTTCACTAGGAAACTAAAATTAAGTAAACTTTCTGCATGTTAACATAACAATGAACAGTAAGTTATAATCTTCAAAATTCATCGCCCCCACATATAATGGAAATTGCCAAAAGAGCATCTCAGGAAACCCAGTTCCAGGTTTTCTCACTACAGTTGTAAGGAAGAAGGATTTTTAATCCCCACACCTCCCACCCAAAAGGAATGAAAATACTCATTCAAGAGACAATTTATAATTTGTTAATAAAAAGCAGTTCTCCTCTCACTTAAAAAACCAACAGTTTGTATAAGTACTCATAAATTTTTTCACTGCTGTAGTCATCTCTGTTTTGAAGTACTGTGAATTTCAATTGTCCTTCCATGTGCTCTCCTTCCTACCTCCTTAGAGAAAAAGTTATACTGGACTGCAGCCTTGTTCTTGGCTTACAGTCACAATTAAGAGGACACTGTAAGTCATTGTGAAGCAAATAAAAAACCTGTTTTGCTTTTAGTTCTAAAAATTACTGTTTTCTCTGTTACTTTTCCTATAGCAGAAATTCTGCTATAACCTTTTAAAAAATTCTATCTCCTGCCCTGTCAAGCAGTAAAAACCTCAGAACAAGCCCATGTATCCCAAAGACAACAAAGGCATCAAAACTAGACAGCATAACTCGTAATGCAATCTAAACCTTTCCATCAAAACCCTTCACAATCTGATCTAAACCCTTCATCATGACACAGATGCCTGCCTGCAGCCACAGGATGCCCTGTCATTCCCCATTCCTTCACATTCCTAACCTTGCCTGTTTCCTTACCTGACCACTGCCACAAACTCCAGCACACACCCATGAGCCATCACCTTATTTGACAATCACCTCTTCTTTCACTTGGCCATACTGAGCAATCAGAACCAAAACAGTAGTTCAACCCACGAAGCAAGAACTTGCTTTATATCCCAGCAGCAGCCAGGGCAACCTTGCTAAAATCAATTAATCACTGCAACCACCTTTAATACTGAAAGGTTAAACAGAAAAACACACAGGCTACCTTTGTGCACTGTCATTCAAGATTTTTACCTACAGACATGAAGGTGAGCACTAAATGCATAGTTTTATGGAGGGTAAAGCACTTGAAATTACTAACAGAAGCATTATTTAAGCAATGAGGAAAAAAGTGTAATTGGTGCAAAAGTGAGATTTGTAGTTAATGCAAAGTGGAACAGAACTAGAATACTGGAACAATGTCCTTTTATGATTTAGGACAGATTATTCTAGTCATGGTCTTTCATTTATAAACGGAGATAATATTTAGCTATAAGAAATGTCACCAAATGCAGAGCTAAAAGGTGTTCACCTAGATAGAAATACCTTCACAGTAATGTTAAGAGTCATTAAAAGGCTACTAATATTGAAATTGTTAGAATATGATGGTCAACTACTCATAGAAACAGTCATAATTCAAAATATTAAATGAGAAAGGATTTTGCAGAATGAACATCATCAAAATGTGAACATTTACAACACATTTTTAGAATTTTTACAGTTCTTATGTTTTCTTTGCTCAAACCAGCATGAAGCTGTTTTACAGTAGCTTCTGGTAATAGCATTTACAGTCCATACTGAAAAGCTCCAATACATTTTGCATTGACCAAACAAAGTTATTTGCAGCAATAAGCTTAAGCTGAGGAGGCAAGTGGATGAGAGCAAAAAATAAAACCTGACTTACTGGTAAAATCACTGTGTGGGCACATAACCATATCCTGATAATGCCAAGCAAGCTACATGAAGATTGCTTATCTGCTCAGTTCCAGATGATGTGCACTGAGATGAGGTTTCCTCTGATGGCTGTTTCTGGGCACTTTCCAGGCACTTTATAAAGTGATATAAAAGCACTTTCACAGATGAAGCACTGGAAGGTTTCTTTTATTCACATGTGTGATCTTCAATGATTTTCCATTAAGATTTACTCAGTCATGTGACAATAAACACATTTAAAGCCACGATCCACATCATGACCCTTTAAATGGATTTTCTCAGCATCTTTCAGCTCTAGTGCTACATTCCACACATTCAGAAATGCTGCTTCTCTCAGAACCCAGCTTTAAGGCACGAGTATCCTCCATAGGGTGAGGTGAGCCTTTAGATCCAGCTTTCAATTGATTTTCCTATGATGTTTACACCTTGATTGAGCCTTAGGGACTTTTAATTTCCCCAGCAAATATCTGGGTTCTAACACTGGAAACGTGACAGATGCTAAGAGGCATACACTGGGTTTATCTGTCCTTTCTCTTGGAATATGGAAGAGAAGTCAGCACTGCAGGGTTCTTCAAGTTGAAAATAAGCTGCTACTTCTCCGAACAAGGTGGTCATTTCTCAGGAGTGATGCATGAGGACTATGCTTGAGCTCATGCCACAGCAGCAAGGACTCTTATTTTAAGGTACCTGACACACAAGCAACAAGAGAGTAATTTTTTTCAAGATTGTCTTTGTTTTCATTCTTTTCATCTCCAAAGCTCACTTTTACCTTGGTCCATTTTAGGGCAGCCTGAAATTCGACATGCCATATCAGTTTCACAGATTTGAACCAGGTGTCTCCTGATCTTACTTTTGGTCCTGCTTGTGAAATGGCAGAGCTTGCACCTACATATCTCCACCAGAAATATTTCCACCAGACCAGGCAATCTGGGCTTCAAAATCCTCAAGCAGAGCAGCATACAGCTGGGATATTGTGATGCCCTCATGGTGATGTGTGGGTTCATTGAAAGAACACATCAATATTTGTAGTTAAATTTGTTAAATTTCAGGAGTTGCAGTTGGTCAGAACATGGAGCTGGTAACACGAAGGTGGTGGGTGCAATCCCCTATGGGACATTTACTTAAGAGCTGGACTCGAGGATCCTTGTGGAGCCCTTTCTAACTCAGAATAGTCTGTGAATCCAAAAAAAGACAATAAACAAAAGAGTTAAAATCCACTTCATGATTTCTAGTGTATTATCCAAAGACTGGGGTGCAACGACATTCAGATTCCAGCCTTAGGGATGTCTGCAGATTTTACGATTATCTCAAAGAACGGAGGGTCCTGCATGAGAAAAATGATGCCACAAAAGACAGCTCAAATCACCTGTTGAAATTAAAAATGAAATACAGGTTAGCAAAGTTTCGGCATTTCTGTGCTAAGCTCCCGTTAGCAGGCAGGCAGCAGTGATCTTAAACCTAATACTCATGTTAAAAGGCGAGAAGGCTGGTGACAAAGCTGTCCCCTCCGGTGCGGGAGGCAGCCCCAGGAGCGCACCCGGGCACAGCCCCGCAGCCCTGCCCCAACCCCGCCGAGCCCTTCCCCGCAGCCCGGCACAGCCAGGCCCAGCCCGGAAAGGCAAATTAACCGCAGCGACGTCGTTCAACAGGACCACAGAATGACAGAACGGCTTGGGTCGGAAGGGACCTTAAAAATCACCCAGTTCCAACGCCCTGCCAGGCGCAGGGATACCCTTCCACGGGACCAGGCTGCTCAGAGCTCCACACCAGAACGCTCCCAAGGATGGGACATCCACAGCTTCTCTGGAAACGTGTTCCTCTGTCTCAGGGCCCTCACGGCGAAGACCTCCCTACTAATACCTCATGCAACCCCGCTGGCTCCCGGCAGGATCCATTCCGGCAGGATCCATTCCCGCCGCCGCCTCCCCGCGGCCGCCCCCAGAGGCGGGGGGGGCGGAGCCTCCTTCGCGCTCCCGGCCCCGCGCGCGGGGTTCACTTCCGGCCCCGCGTCTCCCCCCGCCCCCTCCCAGCGGCGGCGGCGGCAGCGAAGGAGTTCGGAAGTTCAAAATGGCCGCCGCGGCCGAGCCCGAGCAGCGACCGCCCGAGTAAGGACTGGCTGGAGGCGGGGGGAGGCTGCTCGCCCTGGAGCTTTGGGGAGGAGGAGAAGGGAGGTGGAGGGAGAAGCGCGGGCGAGGGGATTGGGGCGGCGGGATACACACACGGGACGGGAACGACAACAAGCGGCCCGGGTGGAAGTGGTGAGGGAGGAGGAGGAAGAGGGTATGGAGAGGAGGACGAGGGAAGGCGGCCGCACCGGGGGAGCGGGGCTGCTGTAGGTGCTGCTGGCCCCGCGGCGAGGCGGCCCTGCGGGGCCCGGGGCGCTGGATCCGCCCGTGGATTCGGGAGGGCCGCGCGGGGGGAGGGGAAAGGGAAGCGGCGGCGGGCGCGTGTCCCCGGGAGTCCCGCGTGCGCCTTCCCGCCCTGCTGGTGCTCCCGCCGCCGGGAACCGGGATTGCCGCCCGCGAACCGGGTTTGCCGCCCGCGCGGGGGACGTGGGACAGAGGGACGTGGGATGGAGGGATGCGCGTCTTCCGCGTGGCTGCGAGGCCGCTGCCCGCCCGGGCGCGCAGGGCTCGGGCATCCCTGAGGCCGATCCTTGGCGCTCCCCGGGATCCCCCACGCCACTCAAACGTACGCACACGCCCACACACCCGCTCCGAGCGGCGCCGGGGGACTCCGGGCCCGCGGGGCTGCCCTGGCGCCGCCGAGCGCTGCCCGCCCTGCGGCGAACCCTCCTCCCTCCTTCCCCCGGGCCCCGGCCGCTCTCGCGGTGTAGAGAGTGCCCGTGCTGGTGGAAGCAGAAAGTGATTTGTTGCCGCCAGCCCCTCCTTCCAGCCCTCGAAATGACTGGCAAGTCCCGGCTCCCGTTGGGAAGCGAAGATCGAGCTGCCGCCTCTCTGCCGGAACGGGGTTCCCGGGCGGGCGTTTTCCAGGCGCCTCGATTTGTGCCGTGGGGTTTGGGTTTGTCCGCGCTCAGGAGCTCGGGAATCTTCTGGAAATCCTGCTGGGAGTTAACGATCGCTTGCTCTATCGCTCCTCTTTACACATTAATATTTTAGCCATATAAACTGCTGTCTGTGTCTTTTTCTCCTTAAAGAGTTTTGATTTGAGGTTTGATTTTATTGTTTATCCTGGGAGTAGAAAACAGGTGAGGAAGAGCAGTGGGAGTACACGTGAGCCATGTAGAGTGCATGGGCATGAAGAATAGCTTTTAGTATTGTAGAGAGAAAGTTAAGTAATGAGGTAGAAGCTGATGATAGGAACCCTGTATGAAGGAAAAGATGGGTGAAATCACTGCACATCCTTATGAACTTTCTGTAATTCTTCTCTTTGAATTCAAAAATAGGAAAAAGTAGGGCTGTAACAAGTTCATGTCACAATTCCTATTTAAAGCCATTAGCACCTAAACATGTAGACATGCCTCATCACCTTCTGAAATATTCTTACAAAGCTTTTTCATCCATGTCATTATATCTCTGAAGCATTTAACAGAAGTAAAAGTTTATCCACGGTTTAATGAAATTACTTGAAATAAATAGATCCCTGTAGATGAAGAGAACTTGACCTGTTTCTTGCACGTTAATCAATCCAATGTTATTGTTGAGTTACAAAGACAGCTGGCAGTTGTATTGGCAGCCTGTAGTGGCCTGAGATGCTGCTGTGGTGATGTGTCTCGTCTGGCACCTTAGCTGCCAGCTGGCTTTTCCAGAACTTAAGATGAGGTTATTACATAACTCCAAAATACATACAACAGCAAAATAACTTTCTTAAAGATTTTGGTGTCACTTTGTGCTGTCAAGAGAAGGAAGACTTACCTGGAACAGCTTGAGCAGATGTGATTTGTATTGTATTTAATATTTTTATAATGTCTTGAAGTACCTTTAATGTGCTAACTGGGGACTTACCCAGGATCCTGAATCCCAACTAAAAGAAATTTGAGGGGCACATAGTTCCCTTAAAATTCTCATTGTCACATTTCCCCGCTTGTGGCACAGATAGACTTGCTCAGGATGGCAAGTCCAAGTTGAAGAAGTTTTCCATTTAACGCTTCTTCTTTTTTTAGTTTTTTTATAATGCCAAGTGCAAGATAAAATAAGCTCTTTTTAAGCCAGTTTTTCCTCCTTTGTTCTGATATTTTATCATAATGGTGAGGAGTGTCAGGAGATAGCAACTGAGAAAAACACCTTTCTGTGTGCCTTGAATAAACAGAAGTAGTAATAAAAACATAAAAGACAAGCAGCGTTCTGAGTTAAGTCTCTGAATATTTTATATTACACCTTTATTTACTAGTACAAGAATTTGCCTTAACTCAAGCAGGAGAGAGTAAATGTGCAGTGCTTGAAGATCCTGTCCTTAATTAGAAAGACACTAATCAAATTCATAGCGAGATGCTGTCCTTTAGGTCTGGCTTAGAATGCCTCTAATACATTTATTGGATCAGATGATCGATCATATTCTTCAGAAACAACTGAAACCAGTAGAGTTCAGAAGATAAGTTCCACATTTCTGTGTACGTTCACCCCCTGCTCCCGGCTGTCGTGTTTGGGGGAATTCTTTTCACCTCATGAGGCTTAGTATACAGCAAAGAGCTATGTTTAAGTTATTAAAGTGGTAACTAGTAAATTTCACAGCTGTTGTTTAGATGGGGTGATTTGTAGAAAGGTGAGCTCTGGCACCTGTAACGTTATTTCAAAAGGCAGATGTCTGTATTAACAGACAGTAAATTAATTGGTGTTCTGAAGGAGATCAGGAGGTATTTGCTAAACACTGTAAAAACCCCTCTTGCTAAGCCAGTTTCAGTGGCTATGGGGGATAATACAAGGGAATATGTAACATCAGGACTGAATTTTATATTTTTTAAAGTTACTATTTGGAGAAATTATCACTAATTGAAAATACTCTTCGAAGAAACACTGTATATCATTATTTTAATAACCTGCTGCAGACTTACTTTTGGCTGTTTTGGTCGATGGCATTTTACAGGTGTCAAGATTACCACATTTTTTTGAAGATACTAATCTGCTGCATGCTATCAGAAAGCTGCTCTGAAATTAGACTTCCTTAATTTTTCCCATTCCTCAATAGTGTTTCCTGTATTACATAAATAATATAAATCTGTAAGATTTATATTTCCTAACAGGTGTTTACACTTAGAGAAAAAAATTGCAGCTAAGAGAGTCAGCTCTGGATGAGATTTTGCAAGAAGGTTTCATAAGGTGGTCAGCATCATACCTTGAAATAAATTGTGATCTTTGGAGCACAACTGTTTTCTGCCACTTGAAAATACTTGTAAAAGGCATAGCTTGTGTTAGGCATTGGAGTGGAGCAGAAAGTGACGTAGATGATGATGTACTGACAAAGAAATACTCAGCACTGTTGTATGCTGTTAACAGATAGGTCAGAATTGAGTGTAAAGGGGGAAGTATTGATTCCATCCACATGTTTGATTTTGTCAGTGCATTTGCTGTCTGTTCTTTCCGTACTATTTCCTTCTGCAGCCATAACTGTCTGTTCCTGAGGAAGTGTATCTGCTGTTATAACTTACTTAAATTAGTGGTACATTTTTAATTCTCCCAAAGGTAGGTGAATAAATGCCAGTTAGCTTCTGTCATAAAAGGCTGCCTATTTAACATGAGATAAAGGATTACAGTGAGTTTATAGTACTGATCTCTTTATTTTTTGCAGGGTTGAGGATGCTGAGGCATCCGAGAAAAGTGTGAATGAAGAAAATGGGGAAGTGTCAGAGGCAGACCAACCTCAGAACAAGCACAGCAGACACAAAAAAAAGAAACACAAACACCGAAGTAAACACAAGAAACACAAACATTCTTCAGAAGATGACAAGGACAAAAAACATAAACACAGACACAAACATAAGAAACATAAATGGAAAGAGGTGGCTGATGCCTCTGACAAAGAAGATGGACCAGCTAAAAGAACTAAAATTGATTTTTTGGCTCCTCTGGAAGACTTAGAAAAACAAAGAGCATTGCTGAAAGCTGAACTTGAAAATGAATTAATGGAAGGAAAAGTCCAGTCTGGGATGGGATTAATATTACAAGGTTATGAGTCAGGATCTGAAGAAGAGGGGGAGATTAATGAAAAAGCACGAAATGGAACAAGACCTACAGCAAAGTCAAATACTAAGGGGAAATTAGAACCTGTGGACAATAAAACTAGTTCCAAGAAAGCAAGTAAGAGTGAATCAAAGGAAAGGACTAGGCACAGATCTGACAAAAAGAAAGCCAAGGCAGGAGTTGATGGAGTCAAAGAGAAGACTACTAGAAGCAAGTCAAAAGAAAGGAGGAAATCCAAAAGTCCTTATAAGAGAAGTAAGTCTCAAGATCAGACAAGGAAATCTAGGTCTCCAATACTTAAGAGGAGATCTCAGGAGAAAAACAGAAAGTCTAAGTCTCCTCCAGAGGATAGAAATAAGGCTGATGATAAAAGTAAATCGAGAGACCGCAGAAAGTCTCCAGTTGTAAATGAAAGCAAAAGCAGAGATCGTGGTAGAAAATCTAAATCTCCAGCAGAACTAAGAAGCAAATCCAAAGATAGAAGATCACGGTCCAAAGATAGAAAACCTAGGAGATCAGAGACTGACAAAGAAAAAAAGCCAATTAAATCTCCTTCTAAAGATGCTTCTTCAGGGAAAGAAAACAGGTCCCCTAGACGACCTGGCCGCAGCCCAAAAGGGAGAAGCTTGTCTCCCAAACAGCGTGAAAAGTCAAGAAGAAGCAGATCTCCTCTCTTTAATGATCGTAGATCTAAACAAAGTAGATCCCCCTCTCGAACCCGCTCTCCAGTTAGAAGGGTGAGGAGTAGATCTGCGGAAAGAAAAAGAAGAGAATCAGA